GAGTTTCGTCAAAGCTGACTAAAAGTGATCGAGGATGGATAATTTCGACGAACTTGATGAACCTGTGATATCTTCTTCAGGGCGAAAAAGGAAAATAAAAGCTGAAACATTTTCACGGAACCTTGCAAAACCAGCGCGTTACAATGGTGAGGGAAAAGCTTCGCTTTAAAGCTTTAAATACAGTTTATGATCACAACAACAACAACGTTTGTCAGGCATCTACATTGTCATCTGAGGAGATTACAAAGATTAAACGAGTGTTTTTTTACACTCTAAAACATGAAATGTGGAGTTATCTGCTTTTGCCAAAAAACGACTGTTGGAGTTATCTGCTTTTGCTATAAAACAAACTTTTAATATGTAAAAAAAACATACTTTCAATTAACTTTAATTTTGTAAATTACCTGTATTTGTTTAAGTTATTATTACTTAATCAAAACAACCCAACTGCAGTTTGATTGATATTACTTGGAATGCGCAAAAATAAAATAAAAATGGAGTTATCGGTTTTTGCAAATGAACTCCTCATATGTTAATGAGCTAAAGATTGTGACATCTAAACAATGACAACTTCTGAGTCATTTTTGCAGATTAGCTTCAATAAATGTTCAATAAACTGCTAAAGAAAAATCTTTGACATATAAGAGTCATAAGAGGCAACAAGTCAAAATTTAGACATACAACATAAAAAATAAATTTGCTGAAATAGGATCGAGAAAGTTTGGTTCAATCTCACTAAGGTTAATGCCAAATCTTTGATCACACTACCAAATGAAAAAAAAAGTGCATAACAATGGACCAAAAGTTTAACATGGGAATGAGCAAACCTGTCTCTTAGCTAATGAAGATGAGTCCTGTAGCATGTCCATAACAATAGGGAACAGCTCATCCATCCATTTCCTCATCTCCAGTCCACTCACCTGGTACAAATTAAAGAAACAGACACACTTAACAGCATGTCAACTGAACAAATTAAATGAACTTCCAAGGGTTGAAGATATTTTGAGTGTGAATATAATACTCAAGTATCGGGAAAAAACTGCTGCTAAAAAAACTATCTGGAAGCAACAGCGCTTGTCCTTAAGATCATTCTGTTCTTGTAAAGCTCATTCAGATGGCTCTAATCCATTCCTTAATACCAATCGCTGTACACACACATCTAACTATTTATCTGTTTCGGAAAACTTCAATTCACTCTTACACTTAATTCCTCTTTTCCAATCTTTGCTACCCCTACTTACCAAGTGTCCACAGATATTCTGTCTCTATGCTAGTATCCCCATCTCTCTCCTCCACAGAGCTAGTCTGACGCTCCTCCGGAATGTTTGCTAAATATTGTATCTGAAAGGTACTGTAGATGATGTCAAAAGATCAGGCTAGGAAATGATCCATTACCTGAGCAAGTTCTCCAATAGTAGCTAAAACACAGATAACGACTCCAGGGTTTGGATCGGGATCTTTCAGCTTCAAGATGAGGGCCTTTGTGAAGAACACAATTGGAAAATCACAATTATTTAGTCTGACTTTGAGAACATCACAAAATCTAAATCCAGAAACGAGACTGGCAAGTCATTATTAGATTTGAGAATCCTAATGAATTATTTTAGTGCCATTAAGTTCATTTTAAATAGAAATGCTAAAAAAAAAAAAAACATTAAATACAACAAAACTATTTTGAAAACTTGAAATGAAAAGTTCATCTTTAACAACACATTGTTACATGAATGAGTCATTCATATCATTACAGACCAATCCTACAAAATATATAAATTACATCACATTATCTGACATATTTTTCTCTTTTCTACTGAAAGCCTGTGTGCTTATGTAGTTTACATAAATTATCTAAAAATATGTGAAAATAATGTTTACAGGGCACTTCAGGAAAATAAATAGTGATTCTTCAAAAGTTCACGGTGTGGATTAAACCATGACAGATTATTTTTTTTTATAAAAATAACATGTCTAACATCAGCCGGAACACTTATATTTTTCGAATCTCAACCATACAAATTATTATGACTACTATCCAAGTACAAACAAATAAACTGGAGCACAAAACCAGTCTTAAGTCGTTGGGGTATATTTGTAGCAATAGCCAAAAAAACATTGTATGGGTCAAAATTATTGATTTTTCTTTTATGCCAAAAATCATTAGGATATTAAGCAAAGATCATGTTCCATGAAGATATTTTGTAAATTTCCTACTGTAAATATATCAAAACTTAATTTTTGATTAGCAATATGCATTGCTAAGAACTTAATTTGGACAACTTTAAAGGTGATTTTCACAATATTTAGATTTTTTTGCTTTTGATTTTCAAATAGTTGTATCTCGGCCAAATATTGTCCTATCCTAACAAACCATACATCAATGGAAAGCTTATTCAGCTTTCAGATGATGTATAAATCTCAATTTTGAAAAATTGACCCTTGTGACTGGTTTTGTGGTCCAGGGTCACATTTGACAACAACCCCCAAAACACATGCAGAGAACAGAGGATGTGAGTGTACCTTGAGAATGGGCTCCATGTAGGGGCGGATGAGTCGGGGGGCATTAGACACCAGGTGACCCAGCATGCGGGCGCTCTGTTCTTTGTTTCGGCCCACGCCACTATGTTCCAACTCGGTAAGGATCTGGACAGAGTTTTATTGCATTGGAAAGTACCACAAGTTTGACATTATTCAATTTTGTAACAACAGACACATCCATAACAGATGTGTGACAAAACAGCATTTAATATTTGATCAAAACAGAATATAATAAAAAACAAATAAAAGTGAACTGTTCTACTGAGAGGGCAGTCGCACAATGTTAATGCTTCCATGCAATATAACATCTACATAAGTTGCTAGTCAACATAAATAAATAAAGTTAGTTAGTTAAGTGAATTTGTTGATGTGTCAGGAAAACAGACTCAGGCCAAGCTGACTAGAGCTGCAGTGAAACAAAACAGCAGATATTTCATCAGAAAAACATTTACTGACTGCCATCTGTTGGTAGTTGAGAAAAATGGCTACAGCTCCTCTTAAAAATTCTGCAGTGCATAGACCAATTTGGAGTAGATGTCACAGTTACGTCACATGCAGCTGCGCGTGCATTGTGGTGGCAGAAATACACTGGGAACAAGTGGAGGGAAACGGGTAAACTCCATGGAATAAGAGGGAAAAAATGTATCGTGCCTTTGGATGTCAGATGCAGAATGCAAATAATTTTCATAGAATACTGTCATCAAAGACGCCATTTGAAGCTAAACGCAGACATTTAAACGAACGGACTATGGATGAAACCTGCTATGATTACTTTTAAAGCATAAATTTGATTTAAACAATAGGTCTACATAATATTCATATATGCAGTTCACAGGGGACATATTGTATTAGCCCTACAGTTACAGCATGAAATAGCCAACTATTTACACCTATAACATTTACCTATTTTTTCTCACAATTCTGACTTTTTTCTCGCAAATTCAAGATTATATCTCCTAGTTCGGACTTTATAACTCAATTTAACTCAACGATTGCAAGTTTGTCAATTCTGAGGGGGAAAAAATCCAGAAGTGTGGGATATAAACTCTCGATTCTAAGCCGAGGGGAAAAGAGAGAATGACGAGTTATCAGAATTGTGAAATATAATCTCGAAATTGTGAGAAAAAAAGTCAGAATTTTGAAATACAAACTCAAAATTACCTTTTTTATTCTTTTATTCCATGGCTTCCATAGACCGCTACTTTAAAACTGTAATTTTCTGCCACCAGATAGGCTCCGTCCACAAAAAAACACCAGAATTTGTCTATAGCATGAGTATGTACACTGTGCACAGTATGAAGTTTATTATAACCTACTACATTTGGCAAAATGTGCTGTATACAAAAAAGATTTACCTATTTTAACTCCCTGAGCCATCTACTACTTCTGTGTGGATTAAATAAGTATCTTCCTATGGTCCCATTCCGTCTGAAGAAACAAAAAGAAAAGCCTGAAAAACGTTTGAAAAATGCTGCAAAAGCTTTCTCTCCAACTTAAATATTGATGTAATAAATATTTATTTATTCATTCATTCATTCACACTTTAGTTTGGAAACCAATTCTCAATATTAACGAACCATTAACTATGACTTTTGCTTCAATAAACTAGTCATTTGCTTCTTATTAATAGTTAGTAAGGTAGTTGTTAAGTTTAGGTAGGAAATAGGATTAAGGGATCTAAATGATGGTCATGCAGAATAAGGCATAAATATGAGCTTTATAAGTAATAAATATGCATGCATGCGTGCATGTAATATACATGCTAATAAGCAACTAGTTAATAGTGAGAATTAAAAGTGTTATTTATTCAGGGTTCATACACATTTTTACCAATCCATTTCCATGACTTTTCCATGACTTTTCCATGACTTTTGAGACAATATTCATGACCTAAATGTTCCATTATTTTACAATAAGAATAAAAATCTGTTCAAATTATCATAGCATATGTTAACTAAAATGAATGACTTTTAATGCTACTCGTTTGCTTTCTTGTTTTAGTAACAAGTACAAGCTGCAACTGCGCCAGACGTTACTCCACATTTCACATATCACATCACTGAATATTATCATTTATTTAACTGTGTGGCCAGGATGGCCATTTTGGTGTCATTTTGTGTGTATTTTTGCTGCTTAAATGCAACAAGCTGCGCTTTAGAGCCCTGCATTTCAGCCCGAGCCCAACGGCCCCAACTTATTTATGGCTTCGGGACAATTTTCACGTCATAGCTCAGACACGGGCCAGGCATCAGGCTTGCTTCCTCCTTATTTTTATATTTTAGATATCCATCAATTATTATGGTGATGACAAAGATTTGCCGCGCTGGTGGAAACAACACGAGACCGTGCTACCGCGACTGTCAAGAGTGGCTCGGATGGTGTTTAGTGTCCAGCAGCAGCGAGTGCTGGAAGAGTTCCATGTTAAAGCGCACGCAAAGCTTGCCGCAAAACACCAGCGAGTAATTACCATGATGAATGCCCCAGGCGAAATAGAATATTCACAGGGTTTCGGTTCATTTTTGTGAAGCGCTCCTGCTCAAGACCGAGACAGCAGAAAGCGTATCCTGTTTGTTTTCTAAAAAAGCACAACGTATGCTGATATTGTGAGTGCCTCACAATACCAGCATACCAGGATACGCGCCTAATAGCACACATTTATCTAGGTTAACCATTTAAACTAACATTGTTTTTTTAAGCATTTTATATAGGCCTATAGATTTTATTTTAGTCAAGTGGTGATGATTTGAGAAGGCTAAATTGATCAAACATAGGCTATGATTAACTCACTGTCTGCCACTGGCCGCTTGGTCGTTACTTTAAAAAAACAAAAACTTGAATTTAACAAACAAAAACATTTTCCAAACATATTTCTAAATTAACGTAATAAAGAAACGAAAATATATATAACCACTTTTGCCATTAAAAACGAAACTGAACTATTTTAATGGCTACAACAGCAGCTGTGTAATTGGGGAAGAGAGAAAGAGAAAAAAAGACACGGGCTCCAGTCGGACTCGGCCAGTAATTCTGATAATCTGTCGGATAAGGGCCGGACTAGGGCATATGTTTGAGGCCCGTGCAGGGTTCTGCTAAGCTTATTTGGTAGCAAACTCAATTTGGTACTGGCAAGTCGGCTTTATATATGCACGCGCGCTTTGGATGTTGACTGCGCACCGCCTAAGGAGTGCGCGAGTACCGAATGGCATAAAAACAAATAAATACATTTTTGTGACGATGCAACAATGACCCGATTAGGCAAGTGACAATTCTGTCAACTGTCCAGAAATGCGAGTGAAAGTCTTGCAGCGGCTCTTGTAGCGCAGACAAGATGCGCCGATGTGAAGCCGTTTGAAGTGAAAGTCAAGGAGAGAAGACGCGTACAGCTGAATCACTCACGCTGTTTTCAAATGACTGATTTGATCAATCTGTGTGGACTGGACTCAGTCTGTAGGTTTGATTATTTACTCATCAAACCTACATGCTATAGGCTATTGAATAAATGTGTGAATATCCATCATTTTAAAGTCAAAAGCTGCGGGAATGAGTAAAACTATGCGATATAGGCTTAGCCTATGCGCAATCCCGCACCGAAATTCAGGACCCGATTAAACAATTCTTATAGAGTTTTGTGAACTAGATTTCCATGACTTTTCCAAAACTTCCTGGGTTTATTTATTTTTCCAAAACTTTTCCAGGCCTGGAAATTGGTGTTTTAAAATTCCATGACTTTTCCAGGTTTTTCATGACCGTACGAACCCTGTTTAGTAAAGTGGTGATGATTTGAGAAGGCTAAACTGATCAAACATGGGCTAACTCACTGTCTGCCGCTGGCCGCTTGGTCGTTAGGCTACTAAAAAAACAAAAACTTGAATTTAACAAACAAAAACATTTTCCAAACATATTTCTAAATTAACGTAATAAAGAAACGAAAATATATATAACCACTTTTGCCATTAAAAATGAAACTGAACTATTTTAATGGCTACAACAGCAGCTGTGTAATTGGGGAAGAGAGAAAGAGAAAAAAGACACGGGCTCCAGTCGGACTCGGCCAGTAATTCTGATAATCTGTCGGATAAGGGCCGGACTAGGGCATATGTTTGAGGCCCGTGCAGGGTTCTGCTGAGCTTATTTGGTAGCAAACTCAATTTGGTACTGGCAAGGTGGCTTTATATACGCACGAGCGCACTTTGGATGTGACTGCGCACCGCCTCTGGAGCGCGCGAGTACCGAATGGCTTAAAAAGACGTGCAAATAAATAATAAAATTTTCTGACGATGCAACAATGACCCGATTAGGCAAGTGACAATTCTGTCAACTGTCCAGAAATGCGAGTGAAAGTCTTGCAGCGGCTCTTGTAGCGCAGACAAGATGCGCCGATGTGAAGCCGTTTGAAGTGAAAGTCAAGGAGAGAAGACGCGTACAGCTGAATCACTCACGCTGTTTTCAAATGACTGATTTGATCAATCTGTGTGGACTGGACTCAGTCTGTAGGTTTGATTATTTACTCATCAAACCTACATGCTATAGGCTATTGAATAAATGTGTGAATATCCATCATTTTAAAAGTCAAAAGCTGCGGGAATGAGTAAAACTATGCGATATAGCCTATGCGAAATCCCACACCGAAATTCAGGACCTGATTAAACACAATTCTATTATACAGAGTTTTGTGAAATAGATTTCAATGACTTTTCCAAAACTTTCTGGGTTTATTTATTTTTCAAAAACTTTTCCAGGCCTGGAAAATGGTGTTTTAAAATTCCATGACTTTTCCAGGTTTTTCATGACTGTACGAACCCTGTTTATTGTTTAGCACTGTGGGATTGGGGGAGTGTGGGTATACTTAAGGGAGGTTTTCATTTAGTAATATTTATGTGGGTGGTTTGGGGTTGATAAAGAGAGACCTTTAAAACTGTTCTTTTATTTTGAAGCATGCACTGCAGTATTCAGAAAGCCATAAGTTTGCTCCACTGCACACTTTGTCAAATGTAGTAGGTCATCTGCGTATGTCAAATGTACAGATATATACTCAGGACGCCAGATTGTGACTAAATGATCACAGTTTGCAATCTTTTCTCCTGTTAGTGTGAATATTTTGTTAGAAGTCGTACTGGTGTCACCACAAAGTTGTCCAACTCTCTTTGATTTTAGTTGATATATGAGAAATATCAAACCATAAACACTCCAAAAGCAATAAGCAAAAATGAAACAGCGCTTATCCGTTTGAATAATTATAAATATTTAAATATATTTATAATAATTATAATACAAACAGACATTTATAATTCCTAAGCACACTTTTGGCCCGTGCTTATACTTGCACTTCTGCGTTATTCTATTCACAATACCCAGTAAGATAAGATCAGTGGTTCAAATGTGAAATGAAACAAAATATGAACTTTTATTGTTAACTGCACTTATTTCTGTAATACAATAATAACATAATTGCTTTTATTATTAGGTCTGTCTTTACTTTTTTTTTTTTTTTTCATTTTATTCAACCTGCTGGTGCTACCAAATCAGGAGTTGATGCCACCAGTGTCAATACTCTAATATGTTAGTCTGAACCATATAGACTGTATAAAAACATGGACGTAGTGTCCGTGACGTCACCCGTAGGTTTCTGAAGAGCGTTTTTGAAGCTCAAAGTAGGCGGAGCCGGCCGTCGCCATCTTGGCAGAGCATCACCGTGCGTCACTCCCGGTTAATCGAAAATGGGCAAAGAGGTTGGAGCTGGTTGCTGAAACCATGCCCACTTAGCTCGACGCCGGTGACAGCAGCGGCAATCCACCTGTCACTCAAGTGGCCACGCCCTTAATTTTGCAGAACTTTAAGGCTTAATATAATTTAAACGGATGAGTTATACAAAAATTCACCCCCCTCACATTTGTCATGAAGGGCAAAATTAGCTATATAGACCAAAATAATTTTTTGTACCAGGCTGTAAACATAAAGTTGGGCATTTTAACATGGGGAGTCTATGGGACTGACTCCCTTTTGGAGCCAGGCCTCTAGCGGCCAGTTGACGAATTACAGTTTTAGTCACTTCCGTGTTGGCTTCACGAGACCGGAAGGTTGCCGCTTGGTCTGAACCCCTGATATTTCAAATATACTGTATAAGTATGAGTAGTGTGGTAGGATTCTATTTCAAATATAGCCACGTGCTGTAAAACATGCAAATACCTGAATGAGCATCTTGCGCAGAAAGGGCATAACAAATGCAGGGTTCATACTGCTGAGACGGCCGATAGTGCAGATGGCCAGTTCGCGGATCTCAAACACTTCATCATTAAGTGCCACAAACAGGGCTTGGAGGTTCTCTGCTTGTGCCAGGTGGGCATCAAAGCGCTCGTCCAGGGAGGCCAGCACACAGTATCGAATATCAGGGTCTGACAGGAAGTCACATATACATAAATTAGTGCACCAAAAACTTAAAGATTTACCCCCAGTTTCACAGACAAGGCTTAAGCCTAGTCCCAGACTAAAATGTAAATCTGAGCTGTTTCAACTGAAAGAAACTTGCACTGATTGATCTTAAAATATATCAGTGTCTCAAGTTTTGTCTCAAGATGCACTCCAATAGTTTTTTTCTAAAGCACGTTTATAAAATATTACTTAAATGTCCTAAATGATCTATGGCCTAATCCTGGCTTAGTCTAAGTCCTGTCTGTGAAACCAGGCCATAATGTTCCAGATCAATTGCCAACAAAGCATGTCAATATTAATCAGGAATATAAGAGTTTCTTTTCAAAGTGATAAAATGTTATGTTGCAAAAATGAATACACCCTCCAGAATTTAACAAAATAGCACTAAATAAAACATTTCTGGTGCAAGTTAAAGGCACATTTTTGATCAACAGGTGAGTATGTTGAAGCAAGAAAATTTGAACAGGAGTAATTTCTTGACAATTAAAGCATTACATGACCATCTGAAAAATTCTCAAACTTAATACTAACAACAATAAAACCACTTTGGAGAGAATTGTCAGGAGACTTAAGCGTGAAAATAGCAGCAAAAGTAAATTAAAAAGAATGGACTTGTAAGTTAACAAGCTCCCTGAAATAATCAACCCCCTAATTTTGTGAAGAGTGATGGTTTCTTAGAGAAGAGCAAGAAAATGCCATGCAAGTGTTTAAGAGCTGGCAAAAGATATGAGAACTTCATCTCATACAGTAAGACGCATCAAACATCACTCAATATGTGACCCTGGACCACAAAACCAGTCATAAATGTCAATTTTTCGAAATTGAGGTTTATACATCATCTGAAAGCTGAATCAGCTTTCCATTGATGTATGGTTTGTTAGGATAGGACAATATTTGGCCGAGATACAACTATTTGAAAATCTGGAATCTGAAGGTGCAAAAAAATCAAAATACTAAGAAAATCGCCTTTAAAGTTGTCCAAATTAAGTTCATAGCAATGCATATTACTAATCAAAAATTAAGTTTTAATATATTTACAGTAGGAAATTTACAAAATATCTTCATGGAACTTGATCTTTACTTAATATCCTAATGATTTTCAGTGGTGTATTGTAACGAAGTAATAATACTTCGTTACAGTACTTAAGTATCTTTTGGAAGTATCTGTACTTTACTTGAGTTTTTATATTTCAGCCAACTTTTACTCCACTACATTTCCTAATTAAAATGTATACTTTTACTCCGATACATTTCCCCGAAGCATATTCGTTACTTACTACAAAATAGTCAGAAGTCAGAAGAACATGGACTGCAGGAAAGCAGGTTTGACGAATCAGTGGTCTGCCGTCTGCAAGTTAGACTCCTAAAAACCCCTTTGCTCATGTGCAAACAAGTGCGCGGCTGCACGCACAACCGCGGATAATTCATTTTCCACTCAAGTCGAGTCTGGG